GAAGTTACATCTATGTATAGATTCAGCGAGTTAGAAACACGTTTCTTCTAAAAGCTGCTTTTGGATATTCCAGAGTGAATGAGACTATAGGCTGTAATGAGAAATATCTTGCTGTAAAACAAAAACGTAACTGTCTAGCAGAATGCCTGTTAAGTTGTAGAATCAACTTAAATAGTTAAACTGATTTGTGTGTGCAGCAGTTCAGAAATCTTTTCTTTGGAGAATCTGGAAACATATATTTCCGGCCTTATACAGGCATATAAACACTATCAGTAAGGCTGCGTTTAAAACACAGGAGAAAGGTCTAGTTCAAACTGTTCTGCTTTGTGTTCGTTCACCTTAGGAACTTGCATCTATGTTTAGATCCAGTGTGTTAGAAACATGTTTCTTCAAAAAGCTGCGTTTGGATATTCCAGAGTGAATGAGACTATAGGCTGTAATGAGTAATATCTTGCTCTAAAACAAAAACGCAGCTATCTAGCAAATTGGTTTTTAAGCTGTAGAATCAACTCACACAGGTAAACTGACGTGTGTTTGCAGCCGTTCAGAAATCCTTTCTTTGGAGAATCTGGAAGCAGATATTTCCAGCCATATACAGGAATATCAGAACTAGCAGTAAAGCTGCCTTTAAAACACAGGAGAAACGTCTATTTCAAACTGCCCTGCTTTGTGTTCGTTTACCGTAGGATGTTGCATCTATGTTTAGATTCAGCGAGTTAGAAACACGTTTCTTCTGAAAGCTGCGTTTGGATATTCCAGAGTGAATGATACCATAGGCTGTAATGGGAAATATCTTGCTCTAAAACAAAAACGCAGCTATCCAGCAGAAAGGTTGTCAAGCTGTACAATCAACTTACAGAGATAAACTGATGTGTGTGTGCAGCAGGTCAGAAATCCTTTCTTTGGAGAATCTGGAAAGAGTCATTTCCAGCCACAAACATGCATATAAGAACTAGCAGTAAGACTGCTTTTAAAATATTGGAGAAACGTCCAGTTCAAACTGCTCTGCTTTGTGTTCGTTCACCTTAGGAAGTTGCATCTATGTTTAGATTCAGCGAGTTAGAAACACGTTTCTTCTGAAAGCTGCGTTTGGATATTCCAGAGTGAATGAGACTATAGGCTGCAATAAGAACTATCTTGCTCTTAAACAAAAACGGAGCTATCTAGCACAATGGTTGTCAAGTGGTACAATCAACTCACAAGACTAAACTGATGTGTGTTGCCGCAGTTTAGAAATCCTTTCATTGTAGGATCTGGAAACAGATATTTCCAGCCCTATACAGGCATATAAGAAATAGCAGTAAGACTGCGTTTAAAACACATTAGAAACTTCTACATCAAACTGCTCTGCTTTGTGTTCATTCACCTTAGGAAGTTGCAAATTTGTTTAGATTCAGCGAGTTAGAAACACGTTTGTTCTGAAAGCTGCGTTTGGATTATCCAGAGTGAATGAGACAATAGGCTGTAATGAGAAATATCTTGCTCTAAAACAAAAACGCAGCTATTTAGCAGAATGTTTGTCAAGCTGTACAATCAACTTACAGAGCTAAACTGATGTGTGTGTGCAGCAGTTCAGAAATCTTTTCTTTGGAGAATCTTGAAACAGAAATTTCCAGACATATACAGGCATGTAAAAACTAGCAGTAAGACTGCGTTTAAAACACGGGAGAAACGTCTTGTTCAAACTGCTTTGCTTTGTGTTCGCTCACCTTAGGAAATTCCATCTATGTTTAGATTCAGCGAGTTAGAAACACGTTTCTTCTAAAAGCTGGGTTTGGATATTCCAGAGTGACTGAGACTATAGACTGCAATGAGAAATATCTTGCTCTATAACAAAAATGCAGCTACCTCGCAGAATGGTTCTCAAGCTGTACAATCAACTCACAGAGTTAAAATGATGTGGGTGTGCAGCAGTTCAGAAATCCTTTCTTCGGAGAATCTGTAAACAGATATTTCCAGCCATATACATGCATATAAGAACTAGCAGTAAGACTTCGTTTAAAACACAGAGAAACGTCAACTTCAAACTGCTCCTTTGTGTTCGTTCACCTTAGGAAGTTCCATCTTTGTTTTGATTCAGCGAGTTAGAAACAAGTTTCTTCTAAAAGATGCGTTTGGATTTTCCAGAGTGAATGAGACTATAGGCTGTAATAAGAACGATCTTGCTGTAAAACAAAAATGCACTTATCTAGCAGAATGGTTTTCGGGCTGTACAATCAACGTACAGAGTTAAACTGATGTGTTTGTGCAGCAGTTCAGAAATCCTTTCTTTGGAGAATCTGGAAACATATATTTCCAGCCATATACAGGCGTATAAGAACTAACAGTAAGACTGCGTTTAAAACACAGGAGAAACGTCTAGTTCAAACTGCTCTGCTTTGTGTTCACTCACCTAAGAAGTTGCATCTACGTTTAGATTCAGCGACTTTGAAACTCATTTCTTCTAAATGCTGCCTTTGGATATTCCAGAGTGAATGAGACTATAGGCTGTAATGACAAATATCTTGCTCTAAAACAAAAACGCAGCTATCTAGCAGAATGGTTGTCAAGCTGGACAACTAACTTACAGAGTGAAACTGATGTGTGTGTGCAGCAGTTCAGAAATCCTTTCTTTGGAGAATCTGGAAGCAGATATTTCCAGCTACATACAGGCATATAAGAACTAGCAGTAAGACTGCGTTTAAAACACAGGAGAAATGCCTATTTCAAACAGCTCTGCTTTGTGTTCATTCACCTTAGGAAGTTGCAGCTATGTTTAGATTCAGCGAGTTACAAACACGTTTCTTCTAAAAGTTGCTTCTGGATAGTCAAGAGTGAATGAGACTACAGGCTGTAATGAGATATATCTTGCTCTAAAACAAAAACGCAGCTATGTAGCAGAATGGTTGTCAAGCTGTACAATCAACCTACAGAGTCAAACTGATGCTTGCATGCAGCAGTTCAGAAATCCTTTCTTTGGAGAATGTGGAAGCAGATATTTCCAGCCACATACAGGCATATAAGAAATAGCAGTAAGACTGCTTTTAAAACACAGGAGAAACGTCTAGTTCAAACTACTCTGCTTTGTGTTCATTCACCTTAAGAAGTTGCATCTATATTTAGATTCAGCGAGTTTGAAACACTTTTCTTCTGAAAGCTGCCTTTGGATATTCCAGAGTGTCTGAGAGTATAGGCTGTAATGACAAATATTTTGGTCTAAAACAAAAACGCATCTATCTAGCGGAATAGTTGTCAAGCTGTACAATCAACATATAGCGTTAAACTGATGTGTGTGTGCAGCAGTTCAGAAATCCTTTCTTTGGAGAATCTGGAAACAGATATTTCCAGCCATATACAGGCATATAAGCACTAGCAGTGTGACTGCGTTTAAAACACAGGGGAATCGACTATTTCAAACTGCTCTGCTTTGTGTTCGCTCACCTTAGGAAGTTGAATCTATGTTTAGATTCAGCGAGTTAGGAACCCGTTTCTTCTAAAAGTTGCGTTTGGATATTCGAGAGTGAATGAGACTGTAGGCTGTAATGAAAAATATCTTGCTCTATAAGAAAAACGCAGCTATCTAGCGGAATTTTTGTCAAGCTGCAAAATCAAACTTACAGAGTTAAACAGATGTGTGTGTGCAGCAGTTCAGAAATCTTTTCTTTGGAGAACCCGGAAACAGATATTTCCAGCCATATGCAGGCCTGAAAGAACTAGCAGTAAGACTGCGTTTAAAACACAGGAGAAACACCTCGTTCAAACTGCTCTGCTTTGTGTTTGCTCACCTTAGGAATTTGCGTCTATGTTTAGATTCTGCGATTTAGAAACACGTTTCTTCTAAAAGCTGCGTTTGGATATTCCAGAGTGACTGAGACTATGGGCTTAATGAGAAATATCTTGGTATAAAATAAAAATGCAGCTATCTAGCAGAATGGTTGTTAAGCTGTATAATCAACTTACAGAGTAAAACTGATGTCTGTGTGACACAGTTCAGAAATCCTTTCTTTAGAGAATGTGGAAACAGATATTTCCAGCCACATACAGGTATATAAGAACTAGAAGTAAGACTGCGTTTAAAACACAAGAGAAATGTCTATTTCAAACTGCTCTTCTTCGTGTTCATTCACCTTAGGAAGTTGCATCTATGTTTAGATTCAGCGAGTTAGAAACACGTTTCTTCTAAAAGTTCGTTTGGATATTCCAGATTGAATGAGAGTATATGCTGTAATGAGAAATATCTTGCTCTAAAACAAAAATGTAGCTATCTGTCAGAATAGTTGTCAAGCTGTACAATCAACTTACAGAGGTAAACTGATGTGTGTGTGCAGCAGTTCAGAAATTCTTTCTTTGGAGAATCTGGAAACATATTTACAGCCATATACAGGCATATAAGAACTAGCAGTAAGACTGCGTTTAAAACACAGGAGACACGACTAGTTCAAACTGCTCTGCTTAGTGTCCATTCACCTTAGGAAGTTGCATCTATGCTTAGATTGAGCGAGTTAGAAACACGTTTCTTCTAAAAGCTGCGTTTGGATATTCCAGAATCAATGAGACTATAGGTTGTAATGAGAAATATCTTGATCTAAAACAAAAACGCAGCTACCTAGCAGAATTGTTGTCAAGCTGTATAATCAACTTACAGAGTTAAACTGATGTGTGTGTTCCGCAGTTCGGATATCTTTTCTTTGGAGAATCTTGAAACAGATATTTCCAGCCATTTACAGGCATATAAGAAGTAGCAGTAAAACTGCGTTTAAAACACAGGAGGAACGTCTAGTTCAAACTGCTCTGCTTTGTGTTCACTCAACTAAGGAAGTTGCATCTATGTTTAGATTCAGAGAGTTACAAACAGCTTTCTTCTAAAAGCTGCGTTTCTATATTCCAGAGTGAATGGGAGTATAGGCTGTAGTGAGAAATATTTTTTTTTTTCTATTACAAATGTTTATTTAGCAAAAAGTCTAATATGAAAATGTACAGGACTGAATTTTTCCATCATAGTAAAACATGACCTATGGAGAGAGAACATGGGTTTCTCTGCTGAACAGCCATTATTTATACTCGTTCCAAGGCTTCTAACATGATCATACTATTTCCTCGTATTACCACCATTCCAATATTGTTCTCTTGTCCGCTAGTCACCGTCTCCACACATTCATCTATCACAAGATTCATAAAGGGATCAAATCCCCGCAATATTAATTGGACATGTCTGCCACCATTTAATTTCAATGATAACTTCTTGTCCATAAATTTTTTCAACCCGGGAGGGTGAGCTTTGCTCATGATGGCTACTCCGCCGGCACACAGAGGTCTTGGAATGGAATGCCGAAATATCTTGCTTTAAAATAAAAATGCAGCTATCTAGCAGAATGGTTGTTATGCTGTACAATCAACTAACAAAGTTAAACTGATCTGTGTGTGCAGCAGTTCAGAAACCCTTTCTTTGGAAAATCTAGAAACAGATATTTCCTGCCATATACAGGCATATAAGAATTAGCAGTGAGACTGCGTTTAAAACACAGGAGAAACGTCTATTTCAAACTGCTCTGTTTTGTGTTCGTTCACCTTATGCAGTTGCCTCTCTGATTAGATTCAGCGAGTTACAAACACGTTTCTTCTAAATGCTGCGTTTGGATATTGCAGAGTGAATGGGAGTATAGGCCATAATGAGAAATATCATGCTCTAAAACAAAAACACAGCTATCTAGCAGAAGGCTTGTCAAGCTATACAATCAACTTACAGTGTTAATCTGATGTGTGCATGCAGCAGTTCAAAATCCTTTCTTTGAAGAATCTGGAAACAGGTATTTCCAGCCTTATACAGGCATATAAGAATTAGAAGTGAGATTGCATTTAAAACACAGGAGAAACGTCTATTTGTAACTGCTCTGTTTTGTGTTCGTTCATCTTAGGAAGTTGCATTTATGCTTAGATTCAGCGATTTACAAACACGTTTCTTCTAAAAGCTGCGTTTGGATATTCCAGAGTGAATGGGAGTATAGGTTGTAATGAGAAATATCTTGCTCTAAAACAAAAACAGAGCTATCTAGCAGAATGGTTGTGAAGCTGGAAAATCAACTTACAGGGTTAAACTGATGTGTGTGTGCAGCAGTTCAGAAATCCTTTCTTTGGAGAATCTAGAAAGGGATATTTCCAGCCATATTCAGGCATATAAGAATTAGCAGTGAGACTGCGTTTAAAACACAGGAGAAACGTCTATTTCAAACTGCTCTGTTTTGTGTTCGTTCACCTTAGGAAGTTGCATCTATGTTTAGATTCAGCGAGTTACAAACACGTTTTTTCTAAAAGCTGCGTTTGGATATTCCAGAGTGAATCGGGGTATACGCTGTAATGAGAAATATCTTGCTTAAAAATAAAAATGCAGCTATCTAACAGAATGTTTGTCAAGCTTTACAATCAATTTACAGAGTTAAACTGATGGGTGTGTGCAGCAGTTCAGAAATCCTCTCTTTGGAGAATGTAGAAACAGATATTTCCAGCCATATACTGGCATATAGGAATTAACAATCAGCCTGCATTTAAAACACAGCAGAAACGTCTATTTCAAACTGCTCTGTTTAGTGTTCGTTCACCGTAGGAAGTTGCATCTCTGTTTTGATTCAGCGAGTTAGAAACACGTTTCTTCTAAAAGCTGCGTTTGGATATTCCATAGTGAATGGGAGAATAGGCTGTAATGAGAAATATCTTTCTCTAAAACAAAAACGCAGCTATATAGCAGAACGGTTGTCAAGCTGTACAATCAACTTACAGTTAAACTGATTTGTGTGTGCAGCAGTTCATAAATCCTTTCTTTGGAGAATCTAGAAACAGATATTTCCAGCCACATACTGACATATAAGAATTATCAGTGAGACTGCGTTTAAAACACAGGAGAAACATCTATTTCATACTGCTCTGTTTTGTGTTCATTCACATTAGGAACTTGCATCTATGTTTAGATTCATTGAGTTACAAACGTTTTACTTCTTTTTATTTTTTCCCACTTATTTATTTTATTGCATTTTAGGTTTTGGGGTACATGTGAAGAAGATGCAAAATTGTTGCATAGGAACACACTTGGCATTGTGATTTGCTGCCTTCCTCCCCATCACCTACATCTGGCATTTCTCCCCCTGCTATCTCTCCCCAGCTTCCCACCCCCCACCGTCCTTCCTCTATTTCCCCCCAACTGACCCCAGTGTGTTGTGCTCCCCTCTCTGTGTCCATGTGTTCTCATTGTTCAACACCCGCCTATGAGTGAGAACATGCTGTGTTTGATCTGCTCTTCTCTCCGTTTGCTGAGAATAATGGTTTCCAGGTTCATACATGTCCCTACAAAGGACACAAACTAATCGTTTTTGATGGCTGCATAATATTCCATGGGGTATGTGTGCCACGTTTTCCCTATGCAGTCTATCGTCGATGGGCATTTGGGTTGGTTCCAGGTCTTTGCTATTGTTAACAGTGCTGCAATGAACATTTGTGTGCATGCGTCCTTATAGTAGAACAATTTGTAATCCTTTGGATATATACCCAGTAATGGGATTGCTCGGTCAAATGGTATTTCTATTTCTATGTCCTTGAGGAATCGCCACACTGTCTTCCA